CATTTTACTGTTTGAGATAAAATGAAATGATTTCCATTCAAATATTTCTATACATTTTACTTCATCTATGAATTGATTCTGCAGCATTTAATACAGTGTATCTGACAAAGTGCAACACATTGCATTTTAATAGGAATAGAAAATAAAGTAAAATTATTTATATTTGCAATATATGAATTCTCTGAATCATTCATATTTTGATATTCAAAAGAGTTCATAATAAATAACCAAAATCACTCTTAGTTTGGGTTAAATATTGTTACTTTTTAAATGTGTACAAAAATTACCCATTTGACAATACCAGCACAACTATCATGATGAATATTTGGGTTGGGTCTCTTAAGCTAAATAGTATGTTAAAAATTGAGGAAGAAAAAGAAACCAACAAATTAGTATCTCAAATATACTGCATCAGACACTTTTGCCCCAATCTAATATTCCTACTGCATAAAATATATTCCTAAATTTTAAAAACTGAAACTTATATGAAAGCTGCATAACCAATGACTCACAAACTATCACTTGTATATGTCATATAATGGTTAATACACTTATGAAAAACATACATATAAATGTATATATACACACATCTGGGCATTTGTTATAGAAAGACTTTAAGTTGACAAAAAGTAATAAATACATAGTAATTAAATCCAGTGTCAATCAAGATAAAATATATTCAGTTGTTTTAGGCATATAACTAATGAGTATTCCACATGTTTAAAGTGACTGTCATATATCTGTGTCTTACAAAATAATAGAGAAATTCAGGACTCTGAGAAACATTTGTAAGTAGAATAGTTAGATGGGTAATATGGAGTGATTACCATTTTCATAAGGTTCAAATTCAAAAGTCACTTAATTAAATGGATTTTTACTCCATTGGTTTCTAATTCCTTTTTTTAACTTCAAAACCTAGTCTTGTTCTGGGATGTAGCTCAGTGGCAAAGCACAAGCACAATACCTTGGGTTCGATCCTAGTACAAAACAAGAAAAGACAAAGAAAATCTATTCTTCAAAAGAAGTCAAACCAAACATGTTGCCATGACTATGATATCTTAAATTTAAGCTGAGAAAGACACCATGAATGTATTTCCAGTTGAATTAGAAGCTTATTTGTGCTTTGCTTTATTTTCATTAATTTGGTGATGAGTGACTTTGGGAACAACTCATTGAACTCATGAAATTAAATAGCCAATGTCAAACAATTACTGAATGTGTCTTATGCTTTCCTTTCTCCTATTGAAAAATAATGACTGGAAAAGATAAGAAGGGAGGAGGGAGAGAAATGTGAGGAAAAAGAAGGATTTCAGAACTAACAAAGTAAAAGAAAAGTGTATGTCTTACTTCAAATAATTGGTCATAGGATATAAGTCCTAGGAACATGAATATCCCTGAAGTCTAAATTCAAGGAATGATGATCTTAAATCAGATAACATTTTTTCCACTTTCTCTCTACATGTTTTCTTTACCCACTAGTTTGATTTTTCTGTTATGGTGGAGAGAGTTGAAAGCAAGGACAGACAGATTGGGATAGAAAGGAGAATTGCCATAATGTCCTAGTGTACATGTGGTCAGAATTTTGCCAAAACATAATAAGTTGTGTTTCAACAATGATCTTTATCCTAAAGTTGCTTAATACATAACTACAATAAATAATTTGGTGTAAATGATTTTATACAGTTATATAAATTATATACATCTATATGGAATACATTATTTGTGAAAATTTGAAAACTTCACAATGTAATCATACATGAAAATAATATTTTATAATATTTACCAGGAAATATATGTACATAAGATTATGAAACATATTAAACAGAACAAGCACAAAATTAAGCTTAGTTTGCATCCATATTTTAATTGATGCTAGAAATATTACATATTATTATTCTCCAAAATAGTATGGAAAGAATATGCAGGGTTCCTATATCCAATCATATACCACTGATAAATCCAGCCTATTTATTTACTAAGCAAACAACCTAAAATAGCTCAAATAAAATATGTAAAAGTGCACATTTTGGATTTTATCATATATGTTCATGTATTGTCAGGAAACCATAAAGAGAAAGGTAATCCATTTTTCATTCTATACAGTTTCATAATTTTAACATGATAAATATTTTTAAGCACAGTAGAGCCACAATGAGATTAAATTATCCTCTAAATTGAAACTTTTAAAGTAATTTCTGTTAATAAATCATATAATTTTTTATTTACCAGTTTGAAAAGTATTGAACACCATAGAATGAAAGAGTGTGCCTCAAACAATGGGGAAAGAGTATGCAAAATAGTGCTGATCTTAAAAGATCAAAATTTTGCATATGTTTAAAAAAATACACCAACAACCCCTCTTTAACCAGAATTACAACTTGATTTTATGCAATTCCTATCTTTTTGTTTTATGCATCAATTAAGATATAAAACTTAGTTGTATGGAAATTCTCACTTGGCACCAGTAGTTTATCATTTAATAATATCATTTAATAATAATTCAAGTTGGCATTATTAAAAGACAAAAGCTATTCCTATCATGGAAAAAACTAAATTAAACCAATAACCAACCCCAAATATGATGTTAATGCTAGTATCTTTCTTTCTTTTCTCCTTATTTTGAGTCTAATATAGAAGAGGTAGATGAAAACAAGTTATATTTGTTTTCCTTTTTTTTCATATTATCATGGCATTGTTAATCTTTTCTCCTTTGGGGAAAATTGGAAGATAAAATCTTGAAAAGAACATAAGAGTTCTCACTGCACTTGGTCAAGGTAGCATTATAACTAAAAAATAATAATCTACAGTGAAACTTACCACCTGTTCAATCTGAATGCCAGTTGTTACTGTCAATTTACTCATGGGTGAATGCTGCCTCTTTGTGGCAGAATGCCACGGCAAATGTGCCTGGAACATGAACTTCATGAACAGCCCTCTAGACTAGGTGAGATTATGGGGAGAACCACCAGCTGCCCTAGAGCACATGCACATTCAGACTGAGATGGATTCATATATTGCCTCCTCTTAAATACTATTTGTTGCCAACACGATGAACACGTAGGGCCCAGACCAACTTTTAACAAACTATCCATCAGAATTGCCTAAGAGTTTCGCACAACTTAAAAAATCCGGGCATTATGGAAAACTATAGGCTGCATAAATAGTATAGGTATGACAAAATATAAAATACTGAAATGAAACAATGAGTATAAGTAATATATTACTTACCATGATCCATGGATTAGATGAGTACTTCACTAAATAAACATGTGCAATTAAAATATCATTAATAAACATATTAATAGACACAGTCAGAAAAATATACTCTCCTGCATCATCAAAGGCATATTATATATATATAATATACGTACATTTTGAATTTTTTTCGTAATCAGAGGTAAAATTTAACTATTATTTCCTAGATTATTAGAATGGAGTTTTCACCATTCACACATAGCTGTCTTTTGCACACCAAGTAATCAGTACTTAAATCCCTCAAATTTGACATAGTTATCAAGTGTTTATTCAGAAACTATTTAAAAAATTACATGTGCTGGGATACATATGAGACTGTAACAACAGTAGCCCGCCATACAGAGATCCTGTTTGTCATTATCATCATTCTTACTGCCCACAAGGATAAAGACATTGTACAGTCTGTCATTTGGTCTTCTGAGGTGCCGGTACACATGGATCTGTACGAACGCAACTGGGTTTGGTTACACAATCAAAAATTGGCTACAATAGTAGTCAAATCAATACATCGTTTTGGTTCACTACTAAAAATACTTTCAAATCTTCTCTAAGAAAACCCCAGATGTCCATACAACTTTCAAATCAAATGGCCCGATTAATTGCCCTGACTTCGTCTTCCACTGGTCTATCATCCTCTTTTATTATTATTTTTTAATGCAGATTCAATTGGCTGGGTTGCATTTTCTGTTTTTTTTTTGCCATGAAGTGCTCCATATTTTTCAAGATTTAAAATACCATCCTGGTATCACTAGAAGTTTGGAAACGCAGCTCCTAATACAGTCGGACAACTCTGTGAAAAATCATAGGCTAAATAGTCAAGGAAAGAGGAAATGCTAAATGTGCATATAAAAATAGGTGCTACAATAAAATATTTGTATATTTCATCAATAAGTTATTTTGACTAATCAATTATGGATCATATAGCTCTGTAATTTTAATGATTTGTCCACATCTATAGCGATCATTTTAAAAATTTTTCCCTTGTTTTTCTTTTTTTTTTGGATCACAACATTTTTGTTGTGGCTGTATTGTTTAATTCACATGTCCAGAATGCATACATCCTTTAAAAACAATGAAAAAAAAAAGAAAAAGGATTAAGAAGGGAGGTAAGAGGGAAGGGGTGGCTGAGAAGGAGAATAAACTTTCTTTTGAAGTGGAGGGAGAGAGGATGCTGATATCTCCTTCAAAGCCCTTTAGGCCCACCCATGGCTTTAAGGTGGAGGAGGGGGAAGGAATGGTGGGGGTGAGGGGAAGGAAGGACAGGAAGATGGGGGAAGGTGGACTCTAGCCACGCCCACCTCTCCTAATTCCACAGCACTTCCAACAGGACCAAAACATAAAAAGAAAAGAGGAAAAAAAGGAAAAAGAAAAGAAAACACCACCACCAAAAAAAAACCTCCCCGTGACCTTTCCTAAGCCCTCCCGAGCACACGGTTGCCCTCCACAAAGCCCTTCTCTCCTCCCCCACTACACCAGAAGAGAAAGCGACGTGCCCAGTGGACACAAATGTGTTCCCGCGTGTAAAGACGAAAAGGAATTTGCACACCCTTTCGGTTGTCTTCCGCTGAAACGGAGAAGCCCCGTGCCAAGGCACTTCACCCTAAACGTTGAAACAACACAATGAAGCCAACGTGTTCACCGTGTGTGTGTGTGTGTGTGTGTGTGTGTGTGTGTGTGCGTGTGTCTGCTCCCTTGTGGGTTGGTTGGTTGCAAATGCAAACGCTCCCCGGGGCGTGTCTTTGCTTTTAGAATTGACTGAATGTGGTCTGTTTTTCCAGCACTTCGAGGTAGTCCGGCTCAACGTTTAGTTTAGCTTTTAACTCCAGATACTCGTTCCGATTGGGTTCTACAAAGACAGCGCTCGGGGGGCTGTAGAGCACCGGTTCTCGCAGCCTGCTGTCCCCGGCCCCCGGGTGCAAATACTGATGGGGGCGTCTCAGGTCATAGTTGGGGGAGAAAGTGTAAGCAGCAGGGCTGCAGGGGAATTTGGGGTACTCCGGGAGGCTGTTGCCAGCAGGGGTGCTGGAGCAGTGCTTGTCGGGCTCTAAAATGCCCCTGTAGAAGCGGTCCGCGTCCGGCACGGGCGCCAGCAGCTCGTCCCGGGGCTCGATGGTGCTGACGCTGTAGGCGGGGCTCCGCAGGTGGTGGCTTTCCCGCCGCTCGTCGTCCCCGGGCTGCAGCTGCAGCGGCGGCGGCGGCGGCGGCTGGGGTTGCAGCGGCGGCGGCGGCGGCGGCGGCTGCTGCAGGTGGTGGTTGCTGCTGTAGGTGACCTTGAGCTCGTGCAGGTCTTTGTAATCCTCCACCGAGTTGCCTTCCCGCGACCGGTAGATGGGGTTTTTGCACATGTGGCCCAGGGGGTGGGGGATGTATTCGTACACGTGGCCCGCGGGCGTCTTCACCTTGGGCAGCGCGGGCCCGCGGTGGTGCACGTGGGCGTGCGGGTGACCCCCCGCGCCGCCGCCCCCACTCCCGCCGCCCCCGCCGCCGACGCCTCCGCCGCCCGGGCCGTACACGCTGTACTGCATGTTGAAGGAACTCACGTCCGAGTTGTTGGTGCTGGTGTGGTCGCTCTGGCTCTTCTTCCTGCGCTTCATGACCAGCACGAAGAGGCCGGCGGCCACGAAGACCGACATGATGAACACCAGCAGCAGGCTGAGGATCAACACCGACAAGGGCACCGACGACGCCCGGCCGCCGCCCGCCCCCAAGCCCGCGGGGGCGCCCGTGCCGTTCAGGCGCACCGCGGGGGTCCCCACGCTGGTCCTGGCGGGGAGCTGGATGGACGAGGGCGTGGGTGTGGACACCACCACGTCCGAGTAGTCCGGGCACAGCAGCTCAGACTTGAGGGCGCGCATGTCGGTGTCGGCGAACTTCTTGGGCGCCTTGCAGATCACCTCGTCCACCAGGACGCCCGCCTTGAGCTGTTCCACCCACAGCTTCATGCCCACCACCTCGCACGTACACTCCCACGGGTTGTCGTGCAGGTCGATTTGGATGAGCGCCTTCAGCTGGTCCAAGACGCCGCTGACCGGCAGAGAGGTGAAGTGGTTGCTCCTCAGGTTCAGCCGGAGCAGGGTGAGGCCCGAGAAGACCCCCGACGGCATGGCCTGCAGCAGGTTGTTGTTGAGGAATAGCAGCTGGAGGTTGGGGACCGGATCGAACGTTCCAGACTGGATCTCGCGGATGAGGTTGTACTGCAGGAAGAGATACTGCAGGCTCTGCAGGCCATAGAACAACTCTGGGCTCAGCCGCTCGATCCGGTTGCCATTCAGGTAAAGGCGTCTCAAGTTGCTGAGATCCCCGAAGGCTCGATCCTGGATGGTGGAGATCCGGTTGTTACCCAGGTGCAGGAGGTCCAGCCCCATAGCCTCCAGGAAGTCGGCCCTGCGCACCACGGCGATGTAGTTCTCCGTCAGATACATCTTCTTGGGGTTGTAGGGTTTGGGCTGCAGCTCGGCAATGCTTTCGATCTTGCGCTCCTGGCAGTTGACGTTCAGGCCCAGGTCGGAGATCTGCAGGTTGCAAGTGCACGCGGTGGGACACTCCAAAGGCACCGGGGATTTGGTCTGGTAGGCGATGCTGGGGCCATAGTTGCTGTAGCCCAAGTCCTTAGAGGGCTGCCTAGAGGTGGGGCGCACTCTGGGCTTGTTGGGTTGGCGGGTCCCCTTGGGAGGTTTCAAGGGGGGTTTGTAAACAGCAGAGGAAGAAGTAGCCACGGAATTCACCGAGGCTGGGGTGGTGTGGGAGTACCCCGTGGTGCTCAAAGGCGTCTGTGGCCTCATCTCATAGTCTGAAATAAGTTTCCTCGGGCAAAGTTCCTGCTTGGATACCTCGTCCAAGTCCCGGCCATGTAAGCGGAAGGGAGTCTCACAAACCACATCCCCGACCAGGGCGGAGTAAGAGATGCTGTCCAGCCAATCCTTGAGAGAGATCAGCTCGCAAGAGCAATTCCAGGGGTTTTCCTCCAGCTGTAACTCCACCACTTTATCCATGTGCTGCAACAGGCCCACGTAGGGCAGAAGTTTCAGTCGGTTTCCCCGCAGGTCCAAGTGCGTTAAGGGCACAAAACGGAAGAGGTTATTGGGTAAACCTGACAAGAGATTGTCATTGAGGATAAGCACCTGCAACAAATGCAGTTTCCCAAAAGCATTGGGTTCAATGACACTGATGTAATTGTAATCGACCTGTAGGTATTCCAGATTCTCCAAGCCAAGGAAGGTATCATCGCGCAGAAGTTCCAGTTTATTATTGTTCAGATGCAACCTCCTTAAACCCCGCAGCCCATGGAAAGCCCCCGTCTCAATGTCTTGGATTACATTGCTACCCAGGTGCAAAATCGAAGCCCCCGTATAATTGACAAACTCATTGGGATAGAGTCGGTTCAAAAGGTTTCCAGACAAGAGGAGATGATAGATTGGGAAACGGGGAGGGCTGATTTCAGAGAGGCTGATGATCCCTCGGTTCTCACAGCTCACGGTTAAAATGCCGTCCTTTTCCTCACAAGGACATGCATTGTCACAGATTTCCCCATAATAATCGATGGTTTCTGCACACGAAAGGACGAGAGATGTTACAGCAAATGCTAGAGTCTGCAGCATCCAGCTATGCATTTTTCTGTGAAGGTCCTGTTCCAAAGTTACTGGGGGGCAGCAAGTGTGCATTTTACCTCCTGCAAGGGAGAGAGGAAGACAAGGAAACAATAGGATATGACAAAAAATGTAAGGGATGGATCAGAGAAAGCCTCTCTCTTCCCTTATACTACTGCTCTGAAATCCAGGAGGAGATATGAATGACACCCCCCTCCCTAACCCAGTGGAACATAACAGTCTCCAGACTTGATTAAATTTTGATATTCATTGTGATTTAAAGGCTCACTTCATTTCCTAATGAGCATAGCACGATGTGCCACTCTTTACGAGGCGAGGGCAGATTGAAGTCCCATTTTAGTGTTCTCCACTCCTCCCCCCCCTTTCCAAAACCAATCCATAAATATACATAAAATGGCTGTCAGTTCAGTTTCATGGCTCTAATTTAAGAGAAAAGAAGCATCATTTTACAGTGCTCCCCACCTCACCTATTCCCTCCCCCTCCTCCTCAGTTAACAGTTCACCAGGAAGATCTGTCATTTCTTAAAATTATTTATTTATTTTTAAACAGAAAAGCAAGGAGCTACACTACTTGGGCTATTTTAAACCATAGCAAGAAATGGTAGGGTGGGAACCTAAAGAATACTTTTCAGAAGCAAAAGGGATCCAAGATAATGCATCAAAGGGGCCAGGGAGAAGCTCTTAAATCACCAATTGTCTCCCGGAGCTTGGGATGGGGAGGAAGAGGAGAGCGTGCTTGCTTTGATGGTGGACTTTCGCTACGACGCTATTAAGCAACACCAGCCTCCTAATTGCATGCACGGTGCCACTTAGCAGCTCTTCCCGAGAGCGCCCTGCGACCACTTCTCTTCATTGATCATGCCAGCAACGCCACCAAACCGCATCCTTAAGCAACTGAAATAGTTCTGCACGATGGATTACAAAGAACTCAGCGAAGGCATCCGCAATCTCGGATTATCTCTGAATACCTTGAGTTTATAAAGAGGACATTGCTACCGCTTACCCACAATCAGCTAAAAGTAAACCGAGGACCAGCGCCAAAACCTCCCTTACCTCGGGCTCCGCGTCTAAATTGCCACGGTATGCAAAAACTAACCCTACCGAATTAAGCTGGATTTGAAAGGAACTACCACCTCGCCAACATCTCCATCTTTGGAGTTGCTTGTTACATTTAATTGTCCATGCCCCCCCCCCATCCACCCCTCCCATTTCACTCCCTAAGTGCCAGGGATTCTGGGCAGTTTACAAAGCAACATAGAGGGATGAAAGGGAAGAGAGCGAATGACACAGGTCAGGGCTGTAACGTCCGAATTTCATCTCTCCAAGGAATCAATCTGATCCCCTCCTTCCTCTCCTCCTCCCTCCCCCCTCTCTCTCAGAAGGCTTCTTTTGACTTGCGACTCTCGGTGGACAGTAGCACCCTTAAAGGCAGGACATAATTGAGTGTGTGTGTGCTTGTGTGTGAGTGCGTGTTGCATTGGTTAGCGGGGTCGGCGCGCGGAGAAGATGGGCTGCTGGATTTGATGGGAAGAAATGTGCTGGGCTGTGGGAATGGATGGCTGTTCTCCTTAACATTGCCTTCTGCCTTACCACCAAAGTCTGGTATACAATCGCAACCCCCACCTATACAGCCCTAAAGACAAGTCCTTTGAGAGGGAGGCACAGGTTCACAGCCTGGACCCCTTGCTTTTGATCCCCCAAGTCGACTCTGGCCCGCGTTATTAAAAGTGCCGGCGTTCACACGCACGTGTGCAAGTGTGCAGGCGAATCTTTCACGTTCGGCCACTCAGATGTGGCGGAGACACGAAATGGGTACCACCGGGTGGAAAGCCATACCCAACCTCCTGTCCCCATGGCAAAATGTCTCCTGGCCTAGAACACCCTCTGAGGAAAGCAAAACGTTTACCTTGAAATTTGGGTTCTCCGCTGGATCAAATCTGCACATCAATTCAACTGGGCTGGGTCCCCTCCCCCAGCCCTCGCTGCTCTTCCCCGCCCCCCATTCACCTCCTTCCTCATCTGAGAGCAGCCCATGGCAAATTGTGTCCAGCCAGTATGCAACTCGAGCGTTTACAACTTTAATTCAGTTCTGGTGAACCAGGGTGGGATAGCTGCGGCTCGCTCTGCTCCCCGGCCATCACGGAGACGGAAAATTGGAGGAAATAAAGTTGAATGAGCCGGGGAAGGCTGCCATGCCGACTGGGAAACGCACCGGCGGTGGAAATTCGCGGGTGCATATCACATTGTCAGATTATCAAGGAAGAAGAAAAAACAAAACAAAACACCAAACTGGAGGGCGGGGGCGAGGGACTGTATTTGTTCTTACACCCCCCCCCCCTCACCCCGAAACATACACACACACACAACCAGCGAGAGCCGAGACCAGAGCCGAGTCTATGGCTGCATGGAAAGCAGCGTGGAGCGGCTCGGGCTGGAGCCTAGTACCCAGGCCCAGACCCGAAGCTCAGGGCACAGCTGCCCAAACGACCGCCCAAGCAGAAGCACCCGGAGTTCCAGGACGCGAGGATCCCCTCCCCCACCCCTCCCCAAAGCGAAGGAAGGAAGGGTAAAAGGGAAGAAGAAGGGGGGGGGGGAAGGAAAAGAAAGCCACTCTGCCACACACACACACACACACACACACACACACACACACACACACAGAGCACAGAGCACAGAGCGAGTCTCTTTTACAAAGTAAAGGACTTACCCCGTCTCACATCTCTGGGGCCCACTCCTCAGAGCCATCCTTAGGACCGTGCCCTGGGCTTCGGAAGCCCAGGCGGAGAGAAAGCCGCGGGCAGCGCGGGGTGAACCGCTGGAGGAAAGCGGCGCCTGGACGCCGCCAGCCCCGGGCCGCCGCCGCCGCGGTGGCGACCGCGGGTTCCGGGGCTCCCCAAACGGCTCTCCCCGGCGCTCTCCGCGGTAGTCGGAGCGGGCAGCGGGGTTGAAGGGGGGGGGGGGACGAGGGGGGGAGGAAGCGAGGGGGGGCGATCGCGAACGGTGGGAGGGGAGGAGGGGGAGGAGAGGCGCCTCGCGGTAGGGGCTGGGAGCCGGAGACGGGCGGGGCGGGAAGGAGGGAGGGGGGGCGCAGAGCGGGAGGAGGGGGCCTCGGGGGGGGGGGCGTGGGAGAAGGAAGCCAGCCCAGGGGCCCCCCGCCGGCTCCGCCAACGTGACCGGTCAGCCTGCGCGAGCGCTGGCACCCGGCTCACACTCACGCTCGCTTGCACAATCACACCCACCCGCGCTGGGGTGCGCGATCGCGGGGTCCCCGGCACCCTACTCCGCACCTCTTCCTCCTCCTCCTCCTCCCTCCCCCTCCGGGGTGGGTACTTACACTTCCCATTTGCACCGGGGGGCTTGGGGGGGGCAACTTTCTCCGACCCAGCTGTAGCCGCCGCCCCCTCCAGCCGCCTCTGGCTCCTTGCACCCCGGGGCCTGGCTTGGCGCGGGCCGGCCCTCCCCTCCCCCCCTCAGTCTTCGCTCCTCTCCTTCTTCACCAACATTTCCCCCACCCCCTGGTCAGTGGCGCACGCCCAGGGACGAGCCAGAGGGAGCCGGGCGCCGGGGTGTGCGCGCCTCGGCCGTCTTCTTCTTGCAGCGCACGCTGTACATGGTAGTGAGGGGGCGAGAGACGGCGGCGCTGGCCCCTCGCCGGCTCCCGCGGCGGCGGCCCCGCGGCTGCGGCTTCTCTGCGCTCCTCGGCTCTGCGCCCCCCCGCGCGCGCGCGGCGACCACCGCACCGGAATCCCGCCGCCGCCGCCGCCGCCGCCGCCGCCTCCAGCGCGGCCCCCGCGCCCGGCCCGCCGTCGCTGCCACCGCCTCGGCGACCCCCTAATTAGTACGTGGACGGTTCCCGCATCCTGGGCGCTATGGCGCGGCTCCGGCTGCGTGCGGGCTGGTTTTCTCCATCCCTTCCCCACACGCGGCGCGTGCGGTCGTCAGGATTCGGAACTCTTCTCCCTCCCCCCCCCCCCCCGTTCCCGCCGCCGCCCCCTCCCCACTCCGGGAACAGCTTCGTCCTTCTTCTAAGCCTGTGGCGGCGGGTCCTGCGCGCCCGGCGGCTCGGAGAAACTCAAAGAAAGTCGCGTCTTCTCTCGCGGGCATCCAGGAGAGGGCCACTCGGTAAGCATCGCCCGGGGAAGGGGGGGGGGCTCTTGAGACGCGGGCTCCGTAACCGGTGCTGGGCCCCGTCCGGTGGGGCACTTGTTTACGATGGTCGCGCCGCCGGTGCCTGCCAAGCTGCAGCAGACATGATGGGCCCGGGGCGAAACAAGCGCCCCGGCGGCCGATAGGTGGCAGCCGAGAGCGCAGGCGTCCCGGGGGTTCCGGCCGGCGGCTCAGCTCCGGTGTCCACCCCCCCTACTTTGGATGTCAAAATGTGGGAGACAGAAGTCGGGGAGTTGAGCGGTACAAGTCTCGGGCAGGGAGGAGTGGAGATGACCAGGACCGTGCCAGGCTTGCCTGGCGGCGGTCAGCTGCCCAGGGCTGCCGCCCGGCGCCCACCCTCTGCCATTTACAGGGAACTTAGTGGAGAAGGGGCAGGGGTGACCCACCCTACCTGTGATCGGGGTGCTTGCCAGATCTCTTTTTGTTACTTTGTAAAACAGAACTACAGTTTGAGCTATTTCAGAGTAGTTCAAGGGACAGTGAAGGACTTCAAAGAAGAATGTGTGTGTGTGTGAAGGAGTCGCCTCAGACAGGTGCAGTATCCATAGCAAATGAGTCTCCCCCTCCCCCTTTCTTCTTCTTCTTCTTCTTCTTCTTCTTCTTCTTCTTCTTCTTCTTCTTCTTCTTCTTCTTCTTCTTCTTCTTCTTCTTCTCCTCCTCCTCCTCCTCCTCCTCCTCCTGCTCCTCCTCCTCCTCCTCCTCCTCCTCCTCCTCCTCCTCCTCCTCCTCCTCCTCCTCCTCCTCCTCCTCCTCCTCCTCCTCCTCCTCCTCCTCCTCCTCCTCCTCCTCTCTCCTCTCTCCTCTCTCCTCTCTCCTCTGCCTCCTTTTCTTTTGAAGTTATCTCCACCAGCGCCACCTCTACTGTAAGTATTCCTGGCTCTTTTGGTGAAACTACACCAGTCCATCCCCAGAAGAGGGACTTTTCTTTCCTAAAATGTGATCTCCTTCTTTGTTAAATATGAGGCCTGCAGTCAAACCCAGGGATCCAAGTAAAGTTGTCCAGTGCCACCTGAGTACACACCTGCCGGTTCCTTTAATAACTACATGATTTTTACCACGTAAATGTGTTCTATCCATTTTGTTTGGCCACACGTTTTTAATTATGTTTTAAATATAAATGATACTGTTTGGTCCTCAGTAATATTGTATGTAATATGAATAGATTATATATGTGGCATATATCATATATATGATATGCCAAATATCATCGATATAACATGATATTGTCTACAAATAGTATTATATGAAAGGTTGTTATTGTATGTTGAATTATAGTGAATATTTCAGTCTTGAGATTATTATGACACTTTTTGCTATCCTGTGAATCCAATATTTAATATTAGAAGTTAAATAATCTTTGTTAAGCCACGAATGCTTTTATTTAGAAAAAAATGTTTATTCTGTGTAAAAGAGAGAAAAAATAATCTATAATATTGCAGGATAAAGATAAAATCTTACAACAGAACTCGGTGTTAAATTAGAAACATTTTATGTAGGAGTCATAGTGCCTGTACCCAAGTACATCATATAAGAGACTTAACAAACTTTACCCACAAAACAATTCTTACTATGGACTTTAATTAGTTATTCTCAAACATGATGGAGTAAAAATTTTAGAAAAAAAATAAGCATGAGATAAAATATTATTTTATATTCAAAATAAAACCAAAATGTTTAATTTCAAATGTACACATTAAGGATTATAAAGGTACAGTTTTAAAATGCATACATTTGTCATTGCCATACTGTGGCATGAAAAATATTGAGTCTTATCAGAAATATTTTTTATTGTTTATCAATTCCACAGGAATTCTCAAACATTATAAATTATTTTAATCATTAAATTTCCTGAAACAGCTTATATATAGTTATTTTACATTACCGATTTGTCTAAATTATACTAGTTCCATTAATCACAAAAATTCAGTTTTATCTGATTTTTCATTATGTTTAAGCATTTGTTACCATAATTGAAATGATTTTTTTCTAATAAGAAGTGATTTAAATGTTCAGAACAAATTTATTTTACAGTTTTGTAAGAAACTTTTATACTAACATTCTGTTTCTCATGTGTTTCAAATAAACAAATGTAAACTTTCTACCATTAACTCTTATGTTCAAGATTGTCAGTCACTTGTCATTTTTTCTGCCACTAGGTGTCTCTACAAGCTACTTTGCTGGAAAAATAAGAATTTTAAGAAATGCATGGCTTGAAGAGGCTAGCCATCAGTGAGGAAAATCCTCAGTCTTTAATCAGTAGACTTCTACTTGCTATATATGTGTATTATGTCTTAGAAATCATATACATGAATCGTGCATTAGTGACAAATTTGAGTCCAGACTTTTACTTACATAAACATAACTGTATTTTGCTCTATATTAAACAACATACTTCCATACACTCATTAGGCATGTTTTCACAAAATATTTAAGCAGTGATGATTGAATAAAAGCAATTGGAAGCTAGAGAGTAAAATTACTGATCCAGAATTAAAGTTATTGATACGTAACTATTATTTGATTGAGTCGGATTCAAAAAGACAAAACTATTGTGTAAATGTTTGTGAATGTATTTAGGAATGTTATAATTCATTCATAAATATTATTATAAATTACATATATTATAAAATTATATGCATGTAGCTAATCATAGATGTCTTTGGCTATACTCACACATTTGGAGTTACAACAACTATTCATAACATATAGCAATACTTCTGGAATTCAAACTGATGAGCAAACTGACTAGTATAACAGATTATTCACATACCTGTGGACTTATTTCATCTTAGAAAAATATTGCAGAGGCATAACTTTAGAATGTACTTAAAATGCTTTTCTTCCTTGCTTCATACACTTATTACAAATACACTCTGAAAATATTTGGTAGTTACTTACTAGTGCATCCTCCTTGGAAGACAACCTGGTAATACTGGCCAAAACTTACAGTATAGTATCTTTCAACAATTATTTTTTTCAAAAAGTAACCTACAATTCTACCAAATATATTAAAATTTAAAATGGTGAGGAACAGTAAAATTTCTAGATGAAAAGTATATATTATCTATATATTGGAATGGTCTTCTGTTTGAATGCCAGTGTGTACAGCAATATAGTCCTGCATTATTAATAACATACATGGGGAGAGGTGGAGATAGCTAGGTAGACAGATAGATAGACAGACAGACAGTGAGAGAGGAGAGAGGGAGAGGCCGACTGGAGGAGGAGCAAAGAGAGGGGAAGCAGGAGAGGGAACAAAGGAGAGGGAAAGAAGAGGAGTAAGTGGGAGAGAAGAAAAGTTAAAAGGGACTGAAAGGGGAAGCTGAGAAGAAAAGGGGAGGAGAGAGAGAAAGACAGAAAATCAGTGAGAGAGACAGAGATACGACAGAAGGAGATTGGGATTCTGTCTTGAAAGATACACATCTATAAATCCAGAATTGGTGATTATTTCTTAGAAGATAGGGATACTTGAATAAAATGATCACTAACATTTTACTATGAGCATACTATATTATTTAGTAGTTTAAAATTTCCATTTTATGTACAAATTGCAATTATTCCAAATAAAATAAAAGTATGAGCTTGGAAAATAAGGATACTGGAAAATAAGGTCCATACTTTTCTTCTTCTTTTTTTTTTTCTTATTTTTGGGTCCAGTCGTGGGGCCTGAACTCGGGGCCTGGGCACTGTCCCTCAGCTCTTCCGCTCAAGGCTAGCACTCTACCGCTTGAGCCACAGTGCCACTCCAGCTTTTCTCTTTTTGCTTATGTGGTGCTGAGGAATAGAATCCAGGGCCTCAGGCATGCAAGGCAAGCACTCTACCACTGAGCCACCTTCCCAGCCCTCCATACCTTTCTTCTAATGAAGAGCTGAGTCTGCCTTCTCTACAATAATCTCTGTTCAATTTCTCTCAAAATGATTTCATTGTTTACATGATAAATTAGTATTAATAGAGACACTGAATATTCTTTCAAATATGAATGTAAATTATTTAAGGTAGTTTTTCTCAAGAACTTTTAATCAAGTGACACTTAATTCTAGCTGGCAGCATCACTAATTCTTAGAAGAAGAACTAACAGAAGCTAGTCAACAGACCACAGTGTGTACTGGGGACAGTAATTGTATTTTGTATTCTTGCATGTGAAGAGGAAGATCAAAATTGTTCGGAGGTGAAACAAATTATCACACTTAAAATTATCTGCAGTACCATTTACTCTATACACATGAAGATGAAGTTGTGAGATGTATTAAATATATAAACTATCATCAGACCTTGTTAGAACTACTACTGCCATTTGGCCTGCAGTGTCCTTAAAATATTTGTGTCCCACTGGAAGAGACATAGGTTAATTATATATCTAGATTAGTTTTTCTATGGTTGTCTTATTAGAATCTCTTGGGATCCAGTGCTTCTTGGTTCACACATATTTGCAGTCATTCTCAGA